ACCTGGGACTTTGGTAATAATGTGAGCAGTACTCAGTTCCGATTACGCATTATTTTGTGTGAGGGAAATGAGAGATCATGGGATATGTCATGTGATATTAATGGACGAATTACGGTTCTTTTAATCGGAAAAGGGGGGGGGAAATCGGGAAAAAATCTGGAAATTTTGTATTTGGCTTTATTCTGTGTTGTGTGAAACAGTGTTCGTGAATTTTTGGATCCCATGGCCGTAACAGAAGTGAATTCGAAATGGGTATTTATGTATGTATTAATTTAATGTATGTGCTCATTTATATTTCAAGTAGTGTTTTTGAATTTAATTATATTTTAATTAAATGATAGTTATTTTGTGAATTTTATGTTTGTAGGAATTTGGTACACGTTTAAGTTGAAGTAAACGTGCATGGAAATAATTTAAATATTTGATACTAAGTATTTGTAATGCTTGCGGTATGAATTCATTGGTGACGTGTATAATGTAATAGATGATTTAGAGGCAAAAGTTTTTGGATATTTTATTTATTTTATATGTGGAAATGTTCATATTTGGAAAGGGTAAATACTTTTTCACGATCAGGTAATTTCATACATGTTCTTTTTACCGGGTTTAAAGATTGAGAAAATTGTCATGTATTTTCGTGAAATTTTTCTAATTTATGAGAAAAAAGCAATGTACATGGATATAGTGAAGAGTGTGCGCAATGCCATTTTTGTGCAATTCTGGGATTTTTTTAAGTAAAAATAAGTCGGCGTTTGTACATGGTTTATGTGTATGTGTTATTTTGAAAAACGCGTAAGGAGTATGGTATTGTGCACTTTTTCCCAATTTTGCAGTGAATATTTGTCATGATTAAGCAGTTTTGTTAGATAAAATTTCTAGCATAAGTGTAATTCGGCTAGTAGATTGTTGGAAGAAGTGTTCAGTAGATAAAAAGAAAAGAAACATGTCTTTACTTCGTGAAGACAAAATGGCGGCGGGGAAAAAAAATGGAGGGTTGCTGTAGGAGAGTTGGTCACCAAATTTTCGCCAAAAAAACGCCAGTTACCATAATGTAAAGATCAACCGTGAATTTTTACTACCATATGCTTAATATATTGTTTTGTCTGCTAACTTGAATTTACATGCACTAAAAATCACGTTTACGGCTCATCGTCAATGAACCGCGAGCTTGGCAAGTAAAAATGCAACGGCGCCAACGGGTTCTTTCCCGAAGCGTCAACGGGTTCTCTGAGGATGAAAACCCATTTACGGGTACCAATTGGCGATTTTTGGCAGCACATGGATACCAAGTTTGTGCAATTCTTTGACTTGTTATTTTGGCTTTGTATAGCGGCAATTTTAGCACCAAAAAATCGCCGCTACACAAAAGACGAAATAACAAGTCAAAGAATTGCACAAACTCGGTATCCATATACACACTGACCTATTTTCAATTAAAAAACATCACAGAATTGTACCAAACTAGACATTGCGCATTCCTTTGAATTTATCCATGTACACGCAGACCTATTTTCACTTAAAAAAACATGAGAGAATTCCACAAACTTGGCATTGCGCACTCCCTTGACTTTGTCTATGTACACATCGATATATTTTCACTTAAAAAGGTCAAAGAAGCACCTAATCCTAGGTAAAAGTATATCTACGGAACCTTCAACTACTCAGGTTACCATAAATGAAACAACTTGGTGATAAACGAAACAACTTCGCAATACAATGGGTACTCTTCAGTCTACTCTAACCGATTACTCCTATCAATAGCTAGAGACTAAAGCTTTTTAATTTTTAAAGCCTATCACTGCTATTTACAAAATTTAAAATGAAACACATTTCATAAAAGGTATTCTCTTTAACATAATAAAATTCTGTCCTAGCAAAACTGACAGATGACAGGAATGGAAATAATTTAGAAACAACTCTGCATAAAACCTCACATACAGCAGACTCTCAAATTGCCACACAGGAAAGAACAGACTTTTGATTTTATTTTTTTAATTTGGCCAGTTTATTACTGATTGACAAACTAAGCAATTTAAAAGCAATAAGTGTACAAAACAAAGCTTCATCTGTCACACTTCATTGCATATAACTGTCAGAGTGTTGTCATTCAACAAAAAATTAGGATTTTCAGTTTACCTCTCAAATTAAAAGATTCTGTCTGTTGTTGAGTAACAGTGAAATTTTAAAGTTATAAATGCAATTAAAATATGACGTGCGCGTGCTCATGTAAAATTTGCCCCGCGCGCGTGCTGGAAAGTTAATCAATATAGTGTATATTCTGCAAACAGCATATTTTAATTACTGTATTATTGTAGTTGCAGTACATATTTATGTATGTGAATGTTCAAATGTTCTGTTCAAAGCTTTACAATTTTTATCTCTTTCCCTTTTACCACTATTTCTTGTAACCTCTATAATTAATATGGTGACATGGAGTTTTTTTCATAGGAATTCCAGTTTATTCCCTTTCTTCTCTCAATAACGAAAGGAGTAAAAAAAGTTCAGTAACAAATGCGATTACAACTCGCATTCCTCCTTTTATTGCTAGTTGTTAGCAGATTTAGGACTATACTATAAGTTACATTTTCAGTTTGTTATATACAGGCTTACAAGTTTTGCATTTTGTTGCTTGTACAAATGAAAATGTCAATGAAATTAGATACCTCAAGAAAGAGTGAGAAAAAAATTTAACAACAAAATTACAAATGATTTAAGTATTTGACATAATACTAAGTCGTGAATAATAAAACCTAAAACTCAACATTTTCAGTAACTTGACATCCTATTAGACCACATTAGGTAGAGTTTGTGGAAAATCTATCCAGCAAACAAAGTAATAAAATCTGTAAACTAAATCAAATTTTAATAAAACATGCAGCAGCTATATCATAACAAGATATGGCACTTCAAGGCTATTTTTCTCCTTCTGCCTTTCCTTGTAACCATGGTAACAGCATGGTGTGAAAAATGGTGGAGTCTTCTAACTTGCTAAAAGCCATTAATCCCTTCTGTGTAGTGATGACTACACATATTACAACTGTAAATATGAGGAGGGTCATTATCAATCTGGAAGTGTCGAGAGCCTATTCTAAAGTAATAGACAATTGCTGTCACCTGATTATGCTAAATGAATTTGACTATTACAAGTCTGGCTTCCTACACAGGATATTTTTAAAGAATATAAAATACAGTTTTAAAATATGTGCAATTTCGTTCCATTCAGGAAATCTTTACAAAAAGATACATTCATATCAAGATCACATAGGAAGAAAGAAAAAAAAAAGTTCCAACAAAGCTTCTATTTTTATAAGCATAGTCACAAAAATCAATATATATGTATATGTTTGTATAGTTTCACTTTACCAACCATCTTAAAACATTGACATATTTAAAAATATGCTTAATGAAAGGGTAAAAATTAGAGCAAAACTTTAGTTTGATATTTTTAATCACTGCAATTTAAAAAGATATGTGATTTTGAGCTATGATAGCATAGAATTTTTCTTTCACTTTCATTATACTGCTTTATATTTTAAGTAGTCCACTGCATGCATTTCCACTTTCAAAGGAATCCTTTACTTAAACCAAAACTTTGCTTTAAAGTAAAACATAAAAACTTATGATTTTCATAAAATCACACAACATACTGTTTCTTAAGAACAAGTTATTGGTAAAAGTTTACAATTGGGTGCCCCTTGTTTTTTGGCGATTTTTTTTTATGCCAAGGTCGGCACCAGGAAGACACAATTTCAAGATGGCCGCTACACAAAACAAAAATAAAATGTCAAAGAATTGCATAAACTCTGTGTCCATGTACACATCGATCTGTTTTCACTTAAAAAAACATCCCAGAATTGCACAAACTAGGCATTGCGCACTGTTTAAATTTGTCCATGTACACATCAATCTATTTTTATTTTTAAAAAAATCAGGAGTCTAAAGCAAAGTTACGCTATCATGGTAACCAGAAATAAGATTTCATGGCCAAAATTTTACAAAAAATTGTCGCTAATCAAAGGGGCACTCAATTCTACACTAGAGCCAAATTATTTTATAATATTTTCAGCAATATCGTAGATACTGAAAATCATACGATAAAATGGACTTTTTAAAAATTTTTTACTGCTATTAAGTTTCTTTACATGCTTTTAAAAAATTACTCATACATACTCTTAAACAGAGGTATACTTCTCAGATGAATGAAAAACTAAAAAACTATTCACCACAATATATCAACTTTTCAAATACACTGATTATTGTAAAAAGAACAGAAATCCTAAAGAATCCACAAACTATGTATGTTATTGTTACATATTTCTCTACTATATACATTAATATAAACTGAACGTATCTGCAATTACCTACAATATAATTTTTATTTTACAAACTTAAATTTATTATCTTAATTTACGGTATTAATCTCAAAAGTAGAGAGTTGGGATATCATAATATACATATAACAAGTGTAAAATGAAGTAGTAGTACAAGTAATAACTATAAAATCATTCAACACTGCATTTATGCATCTTAACACACCCATTATGTAAAATGATTATACTTTTACCAAAATGCATGAAAGGGGAATGCTAAAATTGCAGTCACAAAATATTATCACAAATACTTTTTAAACACATATTTGAGGAAGGTGGGGGAAAAAAAGAATGCAATTCGAATTAAGCAATTAACTAGAAGGTGTGTTAAACATGCTAATTTACAATTTTTAAATCCTTACCATGCACTTCATAAAATCTAACACCTTTTCCCCTTCCTCATAATACATATCGTCAAACTCAATGAAGCAAAAAAATTACATTACTTTTACGATATACTGTTAAAATAAGGCAACATAGTAAAAATGTTTAATTAAAGTGGGGAAGTTATTTATTATAAACTAACACAGTAACCTAGAAAATTAGACATTTCTAAAATCAGGAAACTGTAACTAGTGATAATTACGCATCTATGAATAAACATATATGTATGTATTAGTTACCACTTACTATGCCTTTATTTCAGTATAAACGTAAAGTTTCAATCCAATACGATGCAGCGTTTTCTCAATCAATTAACAAACTAACTTTCATCACATAGCTCTATCTAAACATACGCTAAAATGACGGAATCCCAAAGAAAAAGCGTTGCCAACATAAATTCACTAAATATCATTGTGAGGTACGATACTTCGAGGCCAGCAAGCCTTACAATTTATAATTTTTCATTTATTGTTCAGATAGTTCATGCTTCTTGACATCAAAATGCTGCTAACGCTTTTAATTTTCATATATTGTAAGTAAAATAATTGTATCCGAAACGAAAATAAAACTGCACAGTATTTTTGAACCATTTCTTCATATCACACAAACAACTATAGCATACATAACTTTTCACGTACAAAACTGCTTAAAGTAATCACTGACTAAAAGAAACAATGTTGCAAAAAAAGAATACAAATATACATTTATCAACGTTAACTTTTCCGTTTTAAAATCAGCCCTTAGCCGAAAGGGGCTGTTGGGAATGGCATCACTAAGCCAACGAATCAAAGGCCAGATAGAGACTGACGTCATAAGACGGCAGAGGAAAAAAGAACAGTCTCGGTTTAGATAGCTAACTACTACTAAGAACATATAGTGAATTTGAGTTTCAGAAAGCAGCGCCAGCTTTTACTCTGTATCACGTGAAGAACATCAGTAAAGCAAAAAGACGAAAGTAAAAGTCAGGTGGCCGACATCAGTCGACGAAAAAGGTGTGTATCTGGTTGAAGGTCCAAATCAGTAAACTGAAGAATCTAATATAAGTAAAAAATGTTAAGGATGGAGAATGTTAGATGGATATTTGTGCTTTTCCCTGGAAAATGGAGAACATCTAAGAGAGTTGATGCAGTTGTTAGGATGAGTGATAACTGAATCGAAGAAATTTCTGGCAAGTTTTTGAATATAATCTTGAATTGTATCTACTTTGAGATCACGGTGGATATAAGAATTTGGAATGAACCATGGCACGTTGATGATCTCTCTTAGTGCTTTGTTTTGAAGAACTTGGATGTGTTGAAGGTAAGTTTTGGTAACGTGGCCCCAGACAGGACTAGCATAGAGTAATGGTAATGCTGGTGGAAGTGTAGATTTATATAAGAGGAGTTTTATTAGAAACGGACATATGACTTCTTCTGCCAAGAAGTGGGCGCATAGTTGCAATCGTGATATTGATTTTTTTCACAGTTTCTCTGAGATGTTTCTGAAAAGTCAATTTTTTTTTTATCAAGAATGACTCCTAGATATTTAACTTCGTCAACCCAGTCAATTTCTTCATCAAACAGAAGAGGTCTATGTGGAGTGAAATTTGTTTGACCTTTGCGAAAAATTATTGCTTTTGATTTTTCGGTATTAACTGCAATCCTCCAAAGAGTGAGCCAAATTTTTAGATGATTGGGGTAATGTTGAAGAAGGAGCTGGACATCAGTAACAGTAGAAGCTTGGGTCATAATTGCTGTATCATCAGCGAAAAGAACAAGGGTAATTTGTGGGTCCTTAGGAATATCGTAAATGTAAATGTTACATAAATATGGAGAAAGTACAGATCCTTGAAGCACTCCAGCGAAAATGTTTCTCGGGGAAGAAACAGAACTGCCAATTTTCACTGCAAAGATTCTGTCTCTTGGAGACAGGAAGCAATAAGTCTAATACAATGATCGGGGAAGTTTAATTTGATAAGTTTGTATATAAGTCCACGGTGCCATACCCTATCAAAAGCTTTAGCAATATCAAGGAAAATGGCTGCGGTAGGGAACTTTAGATAGCTAAGGACGATGTTAGCACCTTGTAGCTAAATAGATATTTCTTATTCATTTAACTTGTACTTATGTGTAAATAAACCTTTTTTCTTAAGTTTAAATGATTTGATGTGATCCATTTATGATAACATAGCTGTTAATTCATCGGGTAGATGAGTTATGAATCCTTTCTGAGTTAGCCATTGTTCGAACGTAACGCATTACGTAACATAACAGGGGCATTAGCCCAGAAGGGATATTAGTCTCGAAACAGCATTTTGCGTCGAATCACTATAAACGGCTGTATCACTTTCAAAATTGTTAAAATATTATCGCCATGTAATATATTTAAAGAAATTAAATAAGGAAGAATACTGCTAAATAAGGAAGAATCTACATGAATGTACTTTCTCGCATTGTGAAAAAACAACGATATCTAGAATTATCAGATTTTGAATAACGTAATTTTCCACTCGAATATGGGCACCTGAAAGCCGAATCTTAAATTTCAAATTTGTTTTATTATCTATTTCATATTTTTTAAACTTTAAGGAATTTTTGATTAAGAAGCTAAACGATTTTCAAGCGAGCAGTGGCAACTCACGGTGCGGAATAAAATAACTTTGGCTCTACTCTTATATGCGAGATTCTGATTCTGGATTCTAACTAGTATGTAGTGCACTGATTGCTCTTGAAATTTTCTGATACTGACCCAGTCTGGTAGGCGGTCGGTGATTTTACCTTCGATAAATCAGTTACCTTCGGGTAAGACGAAATGTCCTTTTTCAGGGTAGATTGTGAGCTCAACGAAATGAGTTCAGTTAGCTTACATCAAACGAATAAGACTTTCCCCCTAAGAAAAAAGGATTTCTTGCGTTCACCTAAGGAAAAAAGGAATAAGAAGAAACGGACCAAGTCGGATTTGGAGGCTTTGGATACAGATAGCGGGAAGGAGGAAACCAACTTGAAGAACTATTACTTTGTTCCGGATAACGCTGAAGGTATGGTTACCCTAGTTGAGCATATTAAGAAGTACGGAAGTGAAGGAATGGAAAAACAGTCGACGACTGCTATACAGCAAGTCATGCTGAGGCAAGCTATTGAGATAATAGAAGAGCAGGAGAAGGAAAGGAGGAAACATAAAGAAAAAGAGGAGAAAAGTGCTGATAATGCGGAAGGCAAGTGGATTTCGCCGAAGAAGACGGCAAGACCTACCCAAAAAGATGAGCCGATGGAAGTTTCAAAAGAAAACATATTTGAAGCTCTTAATCCTGACGAAAAGCAAGAAGTAAGAGGAGCTAGTGAAACGGAGGAGGTGCCCCCGCCCACAGTATTCCAGCAACATGCAGTTGATTGGTTGAAAGTGCATGAGCTACTGATAGAAAATTGTGAAGATGAATTCGAAGCTGATATGAAGTTCAGATCTATCTACGTTAATATGAAGAGTGTTTCTGATTACAGAAGAATTACTACTGCCCTGCAAAAGAAGGTAATACCACGTCACTCTTTTCAGTTAGCGAGTGAAAAGCCGCTGCGCGTGGTACTGAAGAACCTGCCCAGTACAGTGACTGAGGAAGCTGTAAAAACCGATTTGGAAAGTCGTAAGTTTCCCGTGCTTAAAGTCAGGCAGATAAAGAAGAGTAAAGGAAACAACTTTGAGAAATTGCCGTTTTTCATAGTAGATCTGAAGAAAAATGCCACAGGATACGCCATTCACCAGCTTGATAATATGTTCAGCGTGAACATCAAAGTGGATAAGTTCTATCCCAGGAAGCGTCCGCTTCAATGTTTTCGATGTGAGCAGTTTGGACATTCCCAACACATATGTACCAATCCAGAGAAGTACTGTAATTGTGGAGGTAATCACCGTAGTAATCAATAAGATAAGCCTACCTGCCTGTTTTGTAGGGAATCACATGTGAGTTCGTATCGTGGTTGCCCTGAATACAGGAAAAGATTTGAGAAAAAACAGCCCACTCGGAAGCAAAACCTGCAGAAGCAGCAGAAGAAACTTTCCACCCCTGAAGACTTCCCGCTACTTAAGTCCGATGTTAAAGTGACTGAAGTAAGCTCGACCTATAGCTCCAGAGCTAAAAGGAGTTTATAACCGCCGCCTGAAGAGATGACTGCTGAAATCAACTAGATGCAGGATCCAAAAATTACGAGTTTTTTTAGCACAGTTATCGCACATATTGAGAAGATTAGGGCAGATTAGGCAGCTACAGCTAAGAAGATGATAGCTGGATTCCAGGCAGCTTTAGCAATGCTGAAATAGTAGATGAGGATTAAATTTGCAACTGCTCAGATGTGACGCTGTGGATTATTTCTGTACTTAGTAGGCTTCATTATCATGGATTAGTATGATCATGGACACGACAATCACTGGTTAATTTGGAAGTGAGATTTCTGAATTTGGTTCTCACACTTGTTCGAGTTATGCTAGGTTATTTTTTGACATAATTCGTAATCACTTAGCTGTTCTACAAGGGGTAGGGTTCTTTAACCCAGGCACCTTAGTGTTACACCATTTCTCCTCGTGTCTTATATGCGCCCTCAGGTCGCCGAATGCGGCGTTATATGTTGTGCGCTGGTTTTTGAAGCGATTGCGTGTTCTGTGATGGTTTTGGAGCCGATTTTGATTTCTATGGCAACGTGGAAACTTGGATTTTACTACTGTAGTGGTTTTAGTTGCTAGTTGGTTCGTGAGGTGTGTGGTTTTAAATGATTTATGATGCAACCGAGGGCGTATATGTAATGAAAGACGTGTTGGCAAAATTTTGGTCGCGTGGTTTGGTACAACTATTTTTTCGGGTGGCTGGAAACTCTGCAAGCATTTAGGAGAAGAAGGTTTTGAACATTTATTTGTGAAACATAGCATCAATTTTGTGAATAGTGAGTCTGGCTGTCGTGTAAATATGGTAGAGATTACGTGGCGCGTTTCGGCATGTTAATCTCTACCGTACGTTGCCGACTTATAATCGGAAATGCGATTTGGAATTTTATTTGCTAGTTTATATATTTTTCCATCGTTGTTCTGAAACGGGAGAAGATGCTTTTAATAAATTTGTGGTGAAATTGGTTTCGTGATGTTTGAAATTGGTATTTCTGCTGTTCGAAGAATCATTCATTCATGGCAAGCGCATTTTGTTTTATTCTTGTTCTTATCTTGTAGAATTTTATGTTCATTGTTTTTTTAATATGAATTTCTGTCATTATTGTTGCTTTTTTGAATTGTTTGAAATTTATTTTAGTTTATTTTGTTGATTAGTGCGCAATGCCTAGATTGTGCAATTCGTATATGTTTTTTAAGTTTAAACAGAACGCTGTGTACACGGTTATTCTTGAAATTTATTGTTGTTATG